CCCACCCCCAGTGCACGAATTTCGTGCACCAGGCCTCTAGTTAAGTATAATCGCTCTGAGGCTCAAGCTGGCCCAACTGATTGGACCAATAGCAAAGGAGCTACCTTAGTGTAAGTACTATAGTACAGGAGAGAGAGGTAGGAGTTCAGAGAGGTAGTCAAGGGCCAGATTGTGCAGGGTCTTAGAGATCACTGCAAGGACTTTGGCTTTGTCTCAAAGAATTAAGAAACTTTGAGCAGAGGAGTGATACATGATAAAAGAATTACTTGACTCTGCCTGCAGTGTAGAGCTTAGACTGTAGGACGGCACGCAAGTGAAAAATGATAGACTTGGACAAGGATAGTAGTACTAGAGGTGGTGAGCAGCACATTCAGAAAATAATCTCAAGGTAGAACCAACAGGAGCTGCTGAGAAGTCAAAGTTTTTGCCCTACTTACTTGGGAGAATGAAAGGGTCTTGTACCAAGACAGGGGTAAGTTAGGGACTGGGGAAACTTAAGTGTTGGACATGGTTAAGTTTGAGGTGCCTGCTTGACAGCCAAATACTGGTAGCGATATTGAGTATACAGTTGTATGAGTCTGGAGTTTGGTGGAAATTTGGGACTAAGTTAAACATTTGGTATATGATCTATTTCTTTAGAAGAAACGCTAAAACCATAATTAACAGAGCATTACTTTCATTGCAGACAAAACCATATGGCATGGTTGAAAGGAAGCCCAGAATATTCCCAGTAAGTCTTAAAACACCTGATTTTTCCTTTTTTTCACTATTTTTCTTTCTCCTTTCCCTTGCTAAGTGATTGACTAAAATGTTCCTTTTTTTTCACTGTCACTTCAAGTGCCTATTTTGTATAGTCTTATACAAAAATAAAGAAAAAGAGGAGGAAATAGTGTAATATTGTAAGGTAGTAGTTCCAGTTGAAAATGGGAGGTGGCCACCTTTCTATACAGTTACCAAGTTCTCTCCTTTCTTTCTTTTTTCTTTTTTTAAAAAAATAATTCTTTATTGTTGAAAGTATTACATATGTCCCCTTCTTCCCCCCCCCCCCCCCCAGCCAGTGACAAATACACTTTCATCAGGAGGAAAAATAAATTAGTCATAAGGATAAGGTTAATTACATAAAGCACTTCATTTTCAAAATACAGAACTAACTCTTCTGAGGGAGGGAGGGAGGGAGGGAGGAAGGAAGGAAGGAAGGAAGGAAGGAAGGAAGGAAGGAAGGAAGGAAGGAAGGGAGGGAAAGGAGAGAGAGAGAGAAGAAAAGAACCAAGTCAAAGAGACTACTATTTATAAGAAAAAAATTGAGTTAAAATGGAAATCAATGAGGAAGGGGACAGAGCACAATGATATCAATCAACTTTCTTACCATACAGCCAGATCTCAGAAAGAATCTGACCGAGTCCCACCCACTTCATACATAGCCAAAGAGTGCAATGAAGGAGAAAACCACAAGACCACAACTTCAACAAAATTACTGGCCTCACTCTGGTGCCCTGCGGTCAGTCAGCAGGCACACTGTCTTAGGTATATGGCACAGATACGCCACGCGCTGCATGAAGCACAACCCTTGGACATCACAACATTCTCACGGGGTGATTTTGTTATCCTCGTCTTACAGGGAAGAAAGCAGCCCAGAGAAAGGCACAAGGTCAAGTCAGCCCAGAGTGCTCAGGGGCCCAGGAAGAGTTATCAATGGAAGCAATAAAACATACTGAGAAAACTCAGCAGTGACGCTATTCTGGGATCCAAGGAGTTAGACCAGAAACCAGTCAGGGCAGGTACAGCAATCAGCCTCTTCGTTCAGACTAAATCTTGACATCCAGCCCCTCTCCCCAGCTGGGGCAGCTCAGTCAATCCCGCTGGGGCAGCAGACATTGTGGTTATCTTTCTGTATTGACAAGGTATGGCCACCTGGAACGGTGGTTCAGACATAGGCTAACCCTGCCTGTCTACACTGCTATGACAGAGCCAAAGAATCCATGCAACAGTGTTAAAGCTGCTACTTGAAAATCCTAATGTGAAGCAGGCAAGGACTTCGCTACCTCACATGTTACACTCAGCTGAAAATATTTTGGATTCATCCTATCTACTCAGTGGGTCTTTATTAGGGGGATTTTTACCCTGTAGGGTAGGTAAGGCAGTATCTCAAGACATTTTTGAGGTTACAGCTGGGGGGTACTTCTGGTATTGGGTGGGTAGAAACGGGGGCATTGCTAAACATTCTACACCAAAAGGAATGACCGGGCCCCAAATGTCAACAGCATGCTGTTGAGAAATCCTATCTAAGCTAGAAGCCGGAGAGCAAAGGGTATGAAACTCATTCTTTAGACCTATTTCCGATACATAAAAGGCCACACTCATCTGGATTTGACTAAACGACAGAGGTTCCTGCGGGATCAGCTGGTCTTCCACCTGATTTCATTCTCTGAAATGCCAGAGGTGAACAGTTCAGGCTCACTGCCTGCAGGGACTCCCCTTCCCCAGGCCCCTCCTACCTGGGGTCAGTGCTTCTGGCCTTTGCAAAAGGGGAGAACAGATATTCTTCGTTGAACCCTGAGGACCTGAGAGAGCATCTAACAAGCTTTCCCAGGAAGTGCCTAAAAACGGAGTTAAACATGCAGCATGTGGTATAGGGCATGAATTCTCTGCCAGACGTTTTCAACCCACACGGGGGTGTTCACTGTGACATCTGCTCCTGACCGATCTGCCCGATGAACTCGATCTTGATGCCCTGGTGCTCCAGCTTGTTGGGGTGCTTGAGCGCGAGGCTCACCTTCGCGGAGACCACCTCGCCGTCGTAGAAGAGGAAATAGTTCTTCTCGTCCTCCGTCTTGTGCTCCGCTCGCTTCCTACTCTCCGCATCGTTGAGCACGATCTCCACCTCCACGCTCTTCCCGAAGCCGAAGAAGCTCATCTCGCCGCCGGCCAGGCACGCCGTGCTCTCCAGGGCTGGGCTGCCCTAAGGGAAGGTCAGCGGGCTGGACGCGCGCTGCCGGGCGTGGGGCGCGGCATGACTGCCCGCTACACCCGGAGGGCAGGGCCGGGCTGGCTGCGCGCCAGAGCACAGATGTGCCGCGGCCCGCCAGTCCCCGAGCGGGCGTGAGCGGCAGAGATGGCGAGGGGCGAGGGCGGCCACGCCACTCTACGGGGGGGCGGTGCAGAGCCCCGGGCTACCGGCCGCTGCCGCCCACCCGGTGCCCTGCGGCTTGGGGCGGCGGAGCGAACCTCCAGCTCCTGCGCTGCGCTGCCGGAGAAACTCCGGAGATCGCAGCGGGGGGCGGGGAGGAGGCGGCGGCCTTCCTCTCTCCTTTCGCTGTCCTCATGCCAGCTGCCTCTCAACGCAGTGGCAGCTATTCGGAGGCCATCTGAAACAGACTCCACTTCAATCTGATCTTTGACAAAGGGCTGCATCCCTGTTTACTGAGCTTTATTGGGCTTCTGTTTCTCAGAATGTCTTCATTGTTAACCCTTACTATTTAAAGATTCAGAAGCAATTTGTTTTTCCAATCCTGAAAGGTCCTGGATATCTTTTTATTTCTGCTTTCAAATCAGCTACTTCTTGCCAGAGCTCATGTTTCCTAAGGTACTTTTCCAAGGCAACTAATAGTTGAACTCCTAACTTTTTTCCAGCTTCCTCTCCTAGAACCTCAAGCTCATTAGATAGTCTGCTTCCAAGTTACTACTGGCCTTCATTTTATTTTTACCTTCCAATGCCAGTGTCCTTGCCTCCAGACTGCTAAGCCAGCGCCATGTGGTTTAATTTTTATTATGGCAGCGTTAGTACCACTTCAGAATGTTAATGTCTGTGTTAGGGTAATGTTAGCTGTGGTAATAAATTATCCCCAAAATGTATAATGGCTTAAACATAAAGTTTATTTTTTTATTAAATAACAATCCTGAGCAGTACCAGGTCAGGAAAAGGCTGGGGTGGGGATGAGGAATAATTCTACTCTACCCAGTCATTCATGGACTGTCAGGTTGATAGAATCTGCTATCTTGAACACAAAGCTGAAACTAAAGCTAAGTAATTTGCCTGAAATTATATTAACTAATTATATAGTTTGTCAATGGAGTTTCCAGGATTGAGCTGAAGGTGTTTCCGTGTAACTTTTTTCTAGGGCTTCTTCTATTTCTTGGGGCCTTGCAAGTAAACATTATTCCTGTGTCACTTTGTGAAGACCACTTTTATGCTCTTTCTGGTCATTTTGTTTTGAGTGAAACTTCCCCTATTCTTTCACTTATACCTTAAGATTTTGAATACTGGTTTCTCATCTTTAGACAGACACTGCTTTGTCTAAGTCCCTTTATAATGTGAATGCCAAAGCTGAACTAGATTTTCACTGTGAGTTCTGACTGAGTGGATATACTTTACAGACAAGATCCTTCTACTAATACATGTTTGTTTTCCTAGGGTGATATAATTCTGGAGACTGGAGAAGTAATTCCACCAATGAAAGAATTTCCTGATCAACATCATTGAAGATTAATTTAAAATTTCAAAGGCATATGAACCTAAGTTTTGTTGCTACATTACCATATTTACTGACTATATTCTCTGGAAAAGGAACTTTAATAAAGTTTACTCTCGGATATGTTTGCCTGTTTCTTCCGAAACACTGTACAATTTAAGATATTTTTAGTTATTTAGGTATTTAACAGTAAGTACAAACTGGACCTGCTTAAAAAAATGATATGAACGATCACCTTTTTCTGGCCATTCTTGAGTCAGAAAATAAGATGTAGAAAATTAGTCACACGATATTTTTTTTCTTACATGATACTTAGTCTGTTGTGTAGGTATGCAACAGAATGAAATGTAATAAACAAATATAAGGTTAGAAATTCCACACACTTGTTTTAAAGGTGGCTTTCTGAGGCATTTTAAAAGAAGTATTTTGGGAACTCTAAATGGAAAATCACGTCATTTCATCTATGATCTGATACTCAAAGGCTGTCAGATCTAGGTTGCTTTGTTATATGAGAACTTAAAAGTACACGTATTGGAAAAGTTAGCACATTCATGGTTTATTATAAAGGACTGTATGCAATAATAAATTTGAAAACTTTATATTATGGATTTTACTTTAAATATAGACATGTGTCAGGTAAGCTTAAAGTGAAGTATTTGCATAGAATAAAATCTAGAGGAATTAAAAATTTCATTCATTCCCGAATATTTTGTCAGGGTATTTCTTCCTTAGTTGTCGTCGAGCGGCTACTGTCGATGCATAGATGACATATCCCCAGGAAAGTAATACGATCGCGAGGAGCAACTAAAAAATATAAATGAATGAATAAATAAAAAATTAAATAAAAATGCAAGAGGGGGAGTAACAGCAAAAATTTCACTGTGGGTAGTACTTCCTCGCTGCCCTCTCCCCATTGGTTGCCATGTACGTTGCTAAGGTGGAAATTACAGTAACCAACGAATAAATGGAATTCCGGAGGCGAATCCACCCACTGTCCTGACGTAAGAAGCGGAAGAGCGTGTCCTCCAGGAAGAGGCGGAGTCCGGGGAGGGAGTGGAAAGCTTAATTCAGGAATGGGTTTTGGGGTTTCTGGGCGCTGAAGTAATACGGGGGCTTCCGCCCGGGGGCGACGGAGCCGACACCGTGGAGCCTCGCCAGACCCGGGACCTACCACGGAATAAATCCGGTCCAGGGTGCGGCGACTCACTGGCCTCATGGTAAGGAGACCACGGCGATCCGCGGGAACGGGCAGGCCTGCCGGCCTAGAGTGACCTCCGGGGCGCCGGCTGTCGGGCGGCGGCGGCGGCGGCGGCCATCCTACATCCGGGCACGAGCGCCCGCCCCCTCGCCTCCAGGGGCCTTTCCCGAGCGCGGGGCGGCTCTTCCGCCCGGAGCGGGGGCGGGCTTACGGACCGCGGGCCTGGCCCGCCTTTCCGGCCGGGATTAGACCAACGAGAACATGATTTCAATGGCCTTTTTGGCCGTTTAGAGAGTTAGGCGCACCTCGTCGGCGGGTTCTTTCAGTTGCAGTGCAGTTTAATGCAAGGTAATGTACCGTCTTGTGCATTTTAACGTGTATTTGAAAAACTAATAACGTATTTCAAACATGACACCGGCGTCTAACTCTGGAAGGATTAACGTTTCCTCTTGCATCTGTTCCCACCTCATATTGAGAGTCTTTCGTATATTTATCGTTGGCGGAAACAATACCACCCACATGTATATAACAGTGACAAATCGTTGTGGGAATCCCTGTTAACTGTGCGCTTCTTCAAGAAACAAGTCTTTGATAACGCAGTGCCTGGTTTAATGTAAATGGTAACTTCTCAGAAGAAGTAACGTGGCCTCCGTGCCCGGCACACTGCCTGCCAGTCAGCCAGTGTTTGCTGCGCTTGGAACGTGAGCGCGTGTCACATACGAGGCAGGAGGACGGCGGTTTGGCCCGCGCGGCTGCACCGGGGCGGCCCCACGGCGTCGGGGACGCTCGCGGCCGAGGCCGGGGGAGGCCGGGCAAGTGGGCCGCGCTGGGCGCAGCGCTCTCTCTCGTCCATCTCCGAGCTCATCAAACAATGGGGTCTTAACCCTGACCCGGGGGTGGGGAAAGGGGGAAGCCGTCTTGATAGGAAAACGGTCTATTTGGCGGAGATTTCAAGGCCATGTCCTCAAGCTGGCTCCTGTGTATCCCGACTAGACTAGCGCTTTCTGTCTGAAGACTGTAGCTGCTGGTTGGGCCCTGGCTTTGGGTTCCAGTCACATCTCCGTGTTATTTTCTAGAGTCTGGAGGACCTAGACCTAGGAGGTAAGTGACTTCACCTCCTTGTCACTCAGTTCCTTTACACACTAGAGCAGTGGTTCTCAACCTTCCTAATGCCGCGACCCTTTAATACAGCTCCTCACGTTGTGGTGACCCCCCCAACCATAAAGTTATTTTCGTTGCTACTTCGTAACTGTAATTTTGCTACTGTTATGAATCGTAAATACCTGATATGCAGGATGTATTTTCATTGTTACAAATTGAACATAATTAAAGCATAGTGATAAATCACAAAAACAATATGTAATTATATATGTGTTTTCCGACGGCCTTAGGCGACCCCTGTGAAAGGGTCTTTTGACCTCCAAAGGGGTCCCGACCCACAGGTTGAGAACCGCTGCTCTAGAGTCTTTTAGTAACTGCTCGAAAAGTTTGGTGAGGTTTGGAGGAGACCAGCTAGTTATCGTGTTTCCCTGCTAAGTTAGGAGCGAACGTTAAGTTACTGCCTTTGTAACCTCCAGAGATTAGCATCGAGGTCGGTGATGGGGAGGGAGCTTTGGGATTTCTGCCCGGGAGGGTCGGCGGCGGGCTCCCTCCCGGACCGCGGTGGGTCGGGGGGGAAGGGCCGAGCGCACCTGGCTCCGCCCTCGGTGCCGGCGCCCTCCTACTGCGCATGCGTCACGCGGGCGGGTGTTTTGTTTTGACGCGCGGGGGGCCTTGGGTGGGCTGGGCTCTTGCCGCCGCCTCCCAGCTACCATTGGTGATGAGCGCTTTACGTCACAGGGGTCGCAACAGCCGCCGGGGTCTCCGCTGTCTCGCGAGGAGGGTGAAGCTCCCCCGCACGCCCCGACGCCGGAGGGTCCGCGGAGAAGTCGCCGGGTACGCCTTCGCGGATCCTGCCGTCACCGACCTGGCTTCCTCGGCCGTCGGGAGCTGGCCACCAGTGCCCCAGCCCGGCATTCGCCGACCTTCTCCGAGGTGAGTGAGGTCGGGAACAATGGGGCGCGGGGGTCGGAAGGGCAGGGCGAGCAGGAGCTCCCTTCCAGAGGGAGGCCGGTAGACTCCGTAGACTCGGGAGCTGAGAGGCCGTCCGGGCCTCGGCGGGCACGGCGGGACACCTGCAACGCACCTGTGGATCGGTGGTTGGGTGGGGAGGGCGACAAGCCGAGCCGTGCCCTGGAAAGACCTTGGTCTCTGAGGGATGGGGGCACCAGCACTAAATGTTCGAGTCTGAACCGTGGCGTTTCCCCTCTCAGAGGTGTGACGGATGGATGCTCTAACCAGCGGTTCTCAACCTGTGGGTCGCGACCCTTTCACCGGGGTCGCCTAAGACCATCGGAAAACACATATAATTACATACTGTTTTTGTGATTAATCACTCTGCTTTCATTATGTTCAATTTGTAACAATGAAATTGGGGGTCACCACAACATGAGGAACTGTATTAAAGGGTCGCAGCATTAGGAAGGTTGAGAACCACTCTAACCTCTCTGAGCCTGTCTGTAAAATGGGAATAACAGTATTTTAGTTCGTTGTTTTAATGTAATGCACGTGGTGATTGTGTTAGGTCCTGGCCGGTGGCAGTTCTCAACCAAAGGAAGCGTGGACATAGTCCGTGCCTGATGGAGTTGTCCGTGCAGTGTTAGACACTGTGGGCCGGCTCGCCCAGTCAGTCAGTGTGGCTTTCCTCGCGGCCCGCAGTTTCCTACACTGGAAGGGGGCGGGACTGAGATGAGGCAAATAGTGACTTAGTGAATAGAAGTGGAAAGTGAATGGAAGTTTTGGTAGATAATTTAATTGTGGTGAAGATTGGGGGTGAGATTCGTTTGTTTTTAATCAGTGACATGCAAAACTGTAGTCAACCAATGGCCCTGGCTGGTGTCGCTCAGTTGGTTCACCGAAAGGTTGCCAGTTGGATTCCTAGTCAGGGCACATGCCCAGGTTTGGGCTCGAACCTGGCAGCTGCTCGATGTTTCTTTCTTCCTCTCCCTTGCTCTCTCTAAAAGTCAATTTTAAAAATCTTTTAAAAAAAGAATCAACCAATGAATGTATAAATAAGTGGAACAACAAATAGATGCTTCTCTTTTCCTTCCTCTCTCTCTAAAATCAATAAATAAAAAATTAGAAACAATGTATTTAAAAGTCTAATAACCCCTTTATTATATAGAGAGCAGGGGTGGGGAACCTCTCGTATAAGCCCCTCGAAATCATTTGGTCTGTCTCTGCCAAGGCATTAGGGGTATGTTAATTCAATGTTTGACCAATTATAGCAGGCTAATTTTTTTAGTTGTGCCTTATCCTAAAGGTTTGTTGTCTGCTTTTTTTCCTGAGTAGGAGAATAAAAAATAGACATAGGAGGAAATGCTGAGAAATGTATGCAATATTAAGGTTTCAGAATGTAAATATGTTGACAGAAAAACGATTGGTGTTCTATATTTATGATTCTATTCTCTTAAGGACAATGGTGATTTTTGCATTTCCACTGTAGAAAATAGAAAACTAGAAATAGTTGGACCCCTTGAAGAAACTTGTTCAGCACTGAGTTCCTATTAAGTTACTGCTCTGAGAAAGTTAAGATGCCCTAGATGAGCACATTTAATTTGAAATCTATGATGAAATACTTTACAATTTCAGAGTTTTGTTGTGGGGTTTGTTTGTTTTTGTTAGAACTTGGTGTAACCAATGAGTCTATTGTTTAGAAAATCACAGGTCTGTTATTTGACTAACTTGACAGTAGCTGACTAGTGGTGGGAGTTCCTGTGATAGAGGAGTAGAGAAAGATGAGTAATAATCCAGGCCACTTGTCTCAGTGATTGAGCATCGACCTATGAATTAGGTGGTTAAGGTTCAATTCCTGGCATGCAGGGGGCAGCCAATCAATGATTCTCTCTCATCATTGATGCTGCTCTCTTTATCCCTCTCCCTTACTCTTCTCTAAAATCAATTAAAAAAAAATTTTTTTTAAGATTAATAATAGGCTCAGGAAAACGTAAAGGAAGAAACTAATATTTAACATATATCATTTTATATATGTGTAAAATGCACCTAGATGAATTTTATAAGATAATAAGGCTAAAATGTAATGCAAATTAGATTTCAGCTCTGGCAAATTCATTTGTTAAGCTATAGACAATATAAACTGATGAATTTAAAATAAACAAAACTAATCTTTAAGATTCTAATGATCCTTGTGGGAAAGATAATAAGGGAAAGGGACTGAAAGCATAATTCAGGATACATTTTGGCTGACTTTTGATTAAATAAAAAGGCTAAGAAAGGCTGTTTAAGGGAGTTGAAAGGAAATCAGTGACTAACTGACTATAATAGCATAGTAACAATAGTGTAGTAATAATAATCACAGCATAATAATATTTAGTGAGCATTTGCTGTGAGCCATGTACTGCCCTTGGGTGGTTTTACATTTAGTATTTAATTTAATTTTCACTAAAAGTCCTTCTTGTATTTAAAAGAATATTTCACTAAAAAACACAGAATTGGTTTAAACAGGTAAACTTTCTGGTATGCAAATTATCTCACTAATGCTTTTTTTTTAAGTTCAAGTATAGTTGACATACAATATTATTTTTCAGGTGTACAATATAGTAATTCAACATTTATATATCTACTATGTGATTACCACAATAAGCCTACTGTCACCATAGAAAGTTATTACTAAAGCTATTTTTAAAGGTGCATATACAACACCACAAATAAATCAGTAGTCTATATTATTTGCGGTATGTATATGAAAGATATAAACTATACATAGAAATAACACCAACTGAGGACTTTCATGTTTTGGGGTCTTTGTTTTCTACAGAGGATAGGAGGATACATAAGGGAGATTTTTTTAGAAATCTGGACTAACCAGAGAAAATGCTGTTAAATCTGAGTGGTAGATACATGGATTCTTGGAATATTTTTCTTTGTACTTTTTTGTATATATCAAATATTTCTCATTATTTTTTAAAAATATATTTTTATTGATTTCAGAGAGGAAGGGAAACGGAGAGAGTGATAGAAACATCAGTGATGAGAGAGACTCATTGATCGGCTGTCTCCTGCATGTCTCCTACTGGGGACGGAGCCCGCAAC